GTTCTTTGTCGTCCGACCTCTCTTTGTAACAAAGCCCAGAGATGGATCATCCGCTGAATCTGGGAGGAGCCCCGAGCCACGTAGAGACCGTCAAGATGTGACGGTCTACAGTGTCCCCCTGTGGACCGATTTTAAAACTACACCTCAAATCAAACATAAAACAAATTGCAAATGTGTGAATATTCTCATGTTCGTCAAGAGGCTGCAAAAAAACAGAGACTCAAATATTAAACTTCAGCGTTTACCACACTGATTACTGACATGTATATTGTATGAATTAAGTTTTTTTTAATACAGTCTGTTTTTATAGTAACTTAAGTTTTGAGCAAATCCTTATAGCACTGTCAATGGTTTATGTAAATACAGAAATGCAATTGCTTTTTAAAAAAAAACTGAATTGCAATTAACTGCAAATATTACATGAACAGTTATATTGGAGAAACACTTTGCCATATGACATATTGTTCAGGAGTTGTTACAAAAAACATATTCGCAAATATATTTTTTAAAACTCTGCATTACAACGTGAAGATTTTGCATTATTTTATTGGAATTGAAGGCAAGTCTAACTGCAACAACACATGTAGTTCAGCACCACGGATAGCCACCAACACACTGATTTCAAATCAACAACCGAACTTTACAGGAATGTCAAAAACACCAACAAATGAATATCAAGCTACAAACTGAATAACCATCATTGCTGTTCTTGATAAACATTCCCTCAAAGGAGAGTCCGTGGAATGCCACCCATGACCGTTAGCAGACACGTCTCTAAAGTGACTTAAAACCACGTCATATTGCAGCCATTTTCTCTATAAAAAGAACACAGCAACGATTTTATGTATTTCATTTCTTACCTTGTCTTGGTTGGGTAAAGTCTGAGTTCTGGTGAAAGTGTCTCCTCCGTTAATACTGATCAGTTCACCATCTACAGGCGGAAACGGTCCGGGGAAAACCACTACGTCACTCTTCATTGTGTCTGAGCTGAAACACACGTCGTACTGCTGAGTAGATTTAGAGTAAGACCAGCTCCCGTCAGGGTGGGTGGTGATCATTGGGGCGCTGTACCTGCTGAAACTGCCGTCTGTCCTGTGGCATTTGACAGCTATTAAACTGATGAGGCTCAGCAGAAAGATCACTGACACCGACACAATGGCGATCAGCAGATACAGGTTCAAATCAGAGAAGCTCTCCTCCTGTATGGGCACATGTCTGAACTGAGTCTGGATGTCAGCTGTGCTTTCAACCACCACCACATCAATAGAGACAGTAGCTGACAGGGAGGGCTCTCCGTTATCAGAAACCAACGCCACCAAGGGGTGAGTTTTCAGGTCATTGTCACTCATTCTCCTCTTAGTCCTGATTTCTCCGCTACTGGTTCCGATCCGGAAGAGGTTGTTTCCTTTGGGCTCAGAGAGGTGATAGGAAAGCAGCGCATTGTATCCAGAGTCTGCGTCTACAGCCCTGATCTTTGCCACAAAGTATCCCGCCTCAGCAGAATAGGGGATGCTCTCACTGTTAACGGAGCCGTGCTCAGAATAGGGCGCGAGGACTGTTGGATTATTGTCATTTTCATCCAGAATTAAAACGTTCACAGTCACGTTGCTGCTGAGAGGAGGAACACCAGAGTCTGTGGCCTGGACTTTAAACTGAAACGTGTTTAACTCCTCATAGTTAAAAGACTGCAGGCTTACTATATCTCCAGTCTCTGAGTTGATGTTTAAAACGGATGAAATAGGAATATTTTTTGGGGAACTATCTAACAACTTATAAGTCAGCTGTGAATTTCTGTCTAAGTCAGGATCAAAGGCCCGTATTGTATGAATAACTGAGCCTACTGCACTGTTTTCTTTCACATAAACATTAATCACAGGCTCCACAAATCGAGGTGCATTATCATTGACATCAGACACATGAACAGTAATGACTCTGATACTGGACAGAGGTGGATTTCCCTCATCTGTTGCTGTAATTGTGACATTGTAAAGAGAAATGTTTTCTCTGTCCAGTGCTCCATCTACTACTAATGAATAGTCATTTTTGTAGTTGGACTTCAGCTTAAAAGGAAAAGATCCCACTACCTTACAGTTAGTCACACCATTGCTTCCTCCATCTTTATCACTTACTGTAACCAAAGCAACTATTGTGCCCATTTCTGCATCTTCTTTTACTGGGGTCATGAGTGACGTCACAGATATTTCCGGGGCATTGTCATTCACATCAATTATTTCTATCAGCAGTTT